ATATATATATATATATATATATATATATATATATATATATACTGTTTCTACACAACAAGACTAGAGGAAAATTATTTTATTCTTATGTATGTATAATTTATATAGTTTAAAAAAAGGACTAGTACTGTCTAATAACAGCGGTATATGATAACACACTAATTGGGTACATCTTTAGGTATGTCCATGCGGTATGGTAATTACTTGACTGCTGTTGATAGGTCCAAATCCCAGAGAGGGAGAAACCACGGGGGAGTTGAGAGTGGGACTGATCACAGAAAAAGGAGAACCTAAGATGCTGCTGGGGCTGTTGGAGGCTGAGCTGTTCAGCTGCTGTGTGGACATGGCTTGTAAGCTCCCCGCTGAAGATAATGATGTCCCCGTATGAAGGATATTAGTCTGCAGGTGACATGAGAGGGTATGTAAAACAGCACATGCAGTTTAATTACAAAGATCGGACTTCTTATGAATGTGTGGTACAAGCTGAGCTAAAACAATCCCAGAATTAAGCTTAGCTCTCTAGAAGTCCAGCTGTCAAAGGACATGTCTCACATTAGGCTAAAACCAGAAACAATGATAGCTATAAACCAGTGCACAGAGGACACTAAGAATTGAAGTAACAGTCACGTTTTCCACACAACATTGAACTCAAGGCTCAAGTTTTGTCCCACAAATATTTACTTAACAGGCCAAATGACAGGGGCTGCGATACTAACATTGTGTTTGCTCCAATCAAAAACATGACAAGAAAACTGACTTGTACCGCATAATTGTACATGTTTAAGTGTGCAGCAATGAACCTCATTTAAACCTAAATAGTGTATACAATATGTTTTGCAGTAGGGTCTTTTGTATCGTATGGCAACAATCACGCTCGCTAAGAGTTGCTAAATAAATACGCAATAACATTAAGCAATAAAATCCTACAAAACGGGATTATTCATGTCAAAAATGGCAAACGCAAACTCATTTGCAAGTGTTCCCACACCAATAATTTCACAGTATCACATTAGAAACCAGTAATTATAGTTTATTGCTTTCGGTTGCTTAAACGAATGGCTGCGAAAAGCATGACTGCTCACAGGCTGCACTAGCGTTAGCTGCGTTAATTATAACACATCCAAAATTATACATAGCTATCTCTAAAAGCTAAAGCAAGCGTCAGCATAAATCGTTCTGTAGGTTTAAAAGGTCAAAAGAACAATGAAACAAATCGAACCAACCAGAGCATTTCCCTAAATGCTAAGATTAGTTTGGATTAATGCTACGTTAGCTACAGCAGCTAGCATTAGCCGGATGCTCACTGATAGCTAGCGAAAAGTGTTAACCCACGGCTCTTAAATTCGCATTTACGTACCATACACACTTTCGACTCATCGTTGAAACCCACCTCACTTCATCTTTTTTGCCACCTAGAAAGCGCTAGACAAAAGCCCGACATTCAGTTCAGTTTACTTCGCTCTGACGGTGTTGTTGTTTACAGGCCATGTTGGCTCAGCGCCATTTACCACCAGAGCCAAAATGTCTCATGGGACCACCCATAACAACGCTGTCATGTGACACCGACCACGTTCGGCTTATTTCCGACAAGTTCAAACTCAGTCCAGTTTAACCTTACACATTGATCGGTATTAGGTACGCTTTCCAAAAATACGCAACATTAGAAAAACATCAGTGGGATGATCTGCTCTGATTACTTATGTACCAGGAAATGATCAAAGTTGCATTCCTATTGTCAGATAAATGCAACTACAGTAGGTGATTGTTGTGATGTGGCAGAACAATATGTCAGTAACATAGACAATAATAATGCATTTAAACAAAAATCATTTGTGCTTTTTGTTTATTTAATTGAACCTTGTGGCATATTTAATCAGAACAAATTTCTAGGACAGCCACACCTACAATCAGAGCCGGAATGGTTTTTTGTTTTTTTTGCCTTTGACAGCATTGCACAACCTGTTCTTGCACCACCGATTGGGCTCAGGAAATGTTTATGAAATCCAAAAGATCTCATTCAAGGTTTGTTTTGTTTTAATAAATAAAAAAAAACTGTTAGGAATACCTGAGTTTATAAATGGGTGACAGAATTTGAACCCACTTAAACACAAATACTGTATTTTTCGCATTTTAAAGCTGTGTTGCCTTCAAGTGTTTCAGGATGCAATCAACATTCCATTCGGTTTACAATATATTCATTTAACTTGAAGATTTATGCAGTTGTCATTTGATAATGACAGATGTGGGCAGTGTTTTTTCGCATCAAACCTGAAAAATAAACATACCACACAGTGTGTGTGTGTGTGTGTGTGTGTGTGTGTGTGTGTGTGTG